AAAAAAAAAAAAATCGTGGAATTATGATGATTATTATTCGAATGAAAAATATCTCAGGATAATGTATGTCCTTCATTGTCCCTGAGTTTCTCCGCAATATTTCACGCGTTAAATCTACAGCTTTGACAGCGCTACATTTATTAATGATTGGGTAAAAGGAGCATCTAAGTAATCATGAGGTATATAATATATTATGATTATGAATTATTGAACATTGTATCAAATTTTATATTCACTTCTTGTGGTTGACAATAAACTGGTTTTATAAAAAAGGTAAAGAAACTTTCTATACGTTTTTCCGATATTTCAAATTCCAACATGTATTACATGTACAATTAAATATATTCTTCAGCTGTCTGTTTAATTTCGCTAAATTCATTTTGGATACCCCCAAGGATCTTTCTTTTGATCCATTAAAATAAGGGAAGACTCGCAGATTTTTTTAAAGACATCACGTAATCTTCCTTTTTGGAATACCTGAAATAAATTGAATTTATTATTTTTATTTTTAATCTATTGATCATATATAAACAGCGCATATCAGTATGTACCTTATAAAGTTGATACTGTTCAGAAGCAAGAATATCTGCCAATTGAATGCATTCGGCGTGTTCGTTCATTTCAGACATCACAGAATGCAAAAGAAGCGTAATTTTTGGAATACAAAGTTCCCGTAACTTTTCCATTTGATGCTCGCGGGACATTTCTTCCGATGTAGATGGTTCATCGTTATTATTATTTGAATCGACCAACCAACCGCCATCCGGAAATAGCAATACATTAAACAATAATTGTTTAACTGCCTGTAAGATTAATACTTTTAGAGATGTTTAACAATTTTCATTTCGTACTAATGTTATATTAAACTTTCTTCTACGAACTTTCGTATGATGTTGCATTGTAGATTTCCATCTTTCCATTTCTACGTTATATTGTGATTTTTTATGTTCATATGCAACCTTTTCGGTGAATGTAGCATACATAGGTAATTCTTCTAATGGTGTAGGTTTTCCATGATGATAATGAGAAAACCATTCAGAAAAGCCTTCTTGAGCATCAAGGTAGGTCTTATAACAAAGATATTCCCGAATCGTGGAAGCCGCTTTTTTCGATAAACTATCTGTCATTGTGAGATTTGTTAGAGTACCTTCTACCGTTGGATATTCAGTCACTATAGCTTCAATTGAATCTATTGGAATCTGCAAGATTTGACAAACAATTCGATTAAAAAACAATTGAAAAATAACAAATTATTTAGTTTCATACCTTGTTGAAAGCTTTTCTGGCAGCGTCAATTTTTTCATTTGTTAGAAAATATCTTATAAGAGCATTAGTTTGCCACAACGCTTCTTCTCGTTGACTTTGATAAAATATTAACCAATCCAATGCATTAATCTTGTCCATGTCCGCGTCAGTCAAATTACCTTTCAAATCAGTGGGATCTACATCAATGTTTTTGGAGCGTATACTTTCTACTACTAGTTTTGTAATTGCCTCTACATTTAGATTAGCGTCTTCTGCCGCGGCTAAGCATTTTTTTCGCTGTTCATAATCTTTTATAGTTTCCAAATAACTGGCATAATTTGTTACTTGAAGTTCTTGGGGCAACATAGCTGTGTAAAAAGCGATCAAAATTGGATCATCCATTTCAATTAAAACCTGAACATATGCCAATATAATTTTATCTCCAATTCTATCCTTGGAATTTTTCCCAATTTGGCGAAAGAAACATATCAGATGCGTTAAAAACCTTAAAAAATGAGGATCGCAGGACTTCATACTAATCATGTCCTCTATTTCTTCCATCAATTTTGGTATTTGATCCAGTATCAAATATTTCTGAATTAGATGATCAGGTTTGTTTGATTGTGTTCGAATATCAGGATTTTTCGATGCGTGAAGTTCTTTAAATACATCTTTCAACGAGATTTCATTTTTCCAGTAGTCGTCAGGCATATCTGTAAAACTTTTTACCACTAGATTTCTTATTTCTCTCTCTACTTTAATATCTAACAGTGTTTTCATATAAGCCCATAATGCATCTTGCCAAGATGACGCCACCTGTAGCATTTGTTGAAGATTTCCACAAAGACTAGCATAAATGGTCCGATAAAATTGACCTAAATGCAAGAACATCTTGATTGTAAATTTATGATACAAAAAGCTTGATAAGTTTATAGTACAAATAATAAAAAATCATTACCTACGCGTTTGTCCTGAGAAAGTTCCCAAGCGCATAATTTCCAAAGGCTTCTATTGGGATTTCCTTCAATAGGTAATTTGGAATCAGATGATCTTTTATAATCAGGATCATTTTGATAGTCGGTATCACAATAATTAGGATCATGATGAGGTATCCATCCTAACAAACAAGCAGCTCGCCAAGGTTGCCCACAGTGTTCAGCTAATGCTTGTGCTTTTTGTAAACGACCGCAACGAACCTGTTTAAATAAAATACATTTTTTAAATATCTTTTTAATTAATTTTCTTATTAAAGATCTGTACCTCTATGAACATTCTTTTTTCCAATCTTGCATCATCTTCCCTATCTAAATCATGCAGAGGTTTTCCTTCTCTTATTGGGGCATCTGGATCTAGAGACGAGACCAATGGCCTAGATGAATGAAATGGGATTTGTTCTTTGTCTTTATATACTAATAATTGTCTCACAGTATTTTCCCATGCAAGTGTCTTATCTGTGAAATGTTCAGTGGTTGGATATCTATCTGCTTGATCCAATGCATTCTTTTCCATCCAGTCAATTATTAACTGATATTCTCTAATGTAGCTTTCAGTTTTAAACATGTTATCTACTACAACCTTTTCTGATATGTATATATTTCTTTCTTGTGCATCATCTCTGGAACTCTCTACATCATCTTCCATTGGAGTTTGAAAATTGAGACTATTTATTCTATTTTGATACAAGCAATAAACAAGCCTCCATGTGTTCCTTTCATTCTGTAAAGAAATTTCTTCATCTGATATTTCGATGGTTTCTACTTTTGACTGCATACCTAAGTGATAAACATACGTATATAATTACGCAAAAAATGTAATATAAAGTTGATATATACATCATAATTTTCTATGTACCTCTCATTATATCTAACGTGTCTGTACAGTTTTGTATAAAGTCTGCAATAGTGTCAAACACCTGTGCCTCAGAATAGTTGACCTGCATGGTATGTAAAAAATCATAAAAAAGTTTAGACATGACGTCTTTCCAAGGTTCCTTCGCTTTCAAAATCATGCCAGTGGCAGTACTGTCTTCCATCATTTCTCTCAAAGTGAATTCACTTTTTTCTGAAGCAGCCATTATATCTCGTACTTCGTGAGGAGTGAGCGTCAATGAAGTATCAATATCCAAAAGATCATGACCCTTAATCAATCTTAAATGGGGATAGGACTTGCCCAACATTCTTGGACTATTAACGTCATTAAATTGGTGAGAATCATCCAAGTCTTTTCGTAAATAATTGGTATTTTGTAATGATAGCCTCTTGGAGGGTGTATTTTTCCCACTTAACCTCAAAAATGATCTTCGTTGAGCGTTTTCTTGATTAAACATTTGAATAGATCGCTCTAAATTCTCAGTAGTATTGTTCATAGTATTCATTTTCAAACCAAGGCTTAAAGCTCTAACAACAAACCTAACAATGTAGTTTAAGCAAAATTAATTACCTGATTGAGAAAAACTAATATTTACAACCATGGCGTATTTGACAACCGTGCCGGTTTTCGAATTTTACAGTAAGTGCTGACAAGATAGGGAATTATTTCAATCCAAGAAAATTCTCTAGCTCAGCACCTCTTAAAGTTCATGATTAAGTAAAAAACGCACATTTTTTAATATGTACGTCATAATATTATTAATATGCAATATTCAACATGATTGAATTTTCTTTTCTGATATTTAGCATATATTAAAAAGTAAAAATATAAAAATTTTGTAAAATGCAATCAAATAAAAGTCTTATCAAAATTCTATTTTAAAATGATCGACTTTTTATTAATTTTATCCTATACGAAATGTACAATTAAATTACTGTCATAGTGGATATAGATTTTCATGTATTATTTCGTTAACATTTATTTATATGTATACGTATATATATAATATTAAAAAGGGTGTCGAAACTATTTCCCAGCATTAGTACGAACTGTTCCACCATACTTGTCACAAGGTTGTACAATTGCGGAGACTTGAAGAAATGGCGACTCGTCTGCTTAAAGTTAGCTCTGCACTGCGGGCTTATTCTAACAACACCAGCCTCGTAAAGGTATTAAAATCAAAGTTTTATGACAATAGCATCATTGTTAAATGATACCAGAACAATTTCTCAAACTTTATATTCAAGTCAATATAATTCCGGAGATGAAAAACTATTGAATCCATTTACTGCTTACGTAATAAGAATGAAATTTTTGAATGTTTGTAGAAACAAAAGAAACATGAATTATTATTAACGAATGACAAATAAGTTTCAGTAAATCGAGTACTATGATGAGAGTATTTATATAAAGCTATCATAACCCTAACGCGTATAATTCATCTTATACAGTAACGTTATAAACACAGAAAACCTAAATTTTGACAGATATATTTTCAGAAATTGATAATAACAATCGTATTCGTTAATTTCATTTTTGTAATTTGTAATCTTTTAATTACTACCATAGCGCACAAAATTAATTCAGTCAAGATTAATTAATTTTGGTATATTTATTGAATAAAATGAATCAATATAAAATGAATGAAATTAATCTCTTCTATTTTTTTTCTTTTATAATTCTTTTACATTTTACATGAGTATATTTATATCAGGTACCAAAGCAATGGCAATCTACATCAGCATCATTAAAAGAAATATTGCTGAACCAACCACCAACACAAGTTACGACTTTAGATTGTGGTATGAGAGTTGCTACTGAAGACAGTGGAGCACCAACAGCCACAGTTGGACTATGGATTGATGCTGGCAGTCGTTTTGAAACTGATGAAAACAATGGAGTTGCCCATTTTATGGAGCACATGGCTTTTAAGGTAATTAATGTAGTCTATGTTTAGTTGAAACAATATAGTATTCAATGTAATATTTAAAGTAAGAATATAATTATAAATAGGGAACTACTAAACGTTCACAAACTGACTTAGAATTAGAAATTGAAAATATGGGAGCTCATTTAAATGCATACACAAGCAGGGAGCAAACAGTATTTTATGCCAAATGTCTGGCAGAAGATGTTCCAAAAGCTGTTGAAATTTTAAGTGATATCATTCAAAATTCAAAGCTTGGTGAGAATGAAATTGAAAGAGAACGTGGTGTTATTTTAAGAGAAATGCAGGAAGTTGAAACAAATCTACAAGAAGTTGTTTTTGATCATTTACATGCCAGTGCATATCAGGGTACACCACTAGGAAGAACAATCCTTGGCCCCACTAATAATATTAAAAAAATTACAAGAAATGATCTTGTTCAATATGTTAAACAATACTATGGTCCACCTAGGTATGCAATTATATCTATTTACAACTTGGTTTTATTATATATACTAAATATTATTAAAATATCTTTACAGATTCATTTTAGCTGGTGCAGGTGGTGTAAATCACAATGCATTAGTAGAATTAGCTCAGAAACATTTTGGTCAAATGAAAGGGCCAGTCTATGATGAAATTCCTCCTGTATTAACACCATGTCGTTACACAGGATCAGAAATAAGAGTTCGCGATGATAGTATTCCTCTCGCACATGTTGCCATTGCTATTGAAGGTGCTGGTTGGGCTGATCCAGATAACATTCCTCTTATGGTTGCGAATACCCTTATGGGAGCATGGGATCGTAGCCAAGGAGGAGGTGTAAACAATATAAGTTACTTGGCTGAAGCTTCTGCACATGACGGAATATGCCACAGTTATCAAAGTTTCAATACTTGTTATCAAGTATTTATTATTAATTTATATTACTACACTATATTAATGTTGTATATTAATCATGTGTTAATATGAAATATCTTTCTATAGGACACAGGTCTTTGGGGTGTATACTTTGTGTCTGATCGAATGGAAATTGAATGGTTTATATACAATTTGCAACGTGAATGGATGCGATTGTGCACATCAGTGACTGAAAAAGACGTAGAGCGCGCGAAGAACATTCTTAAAACAAATATGCTTCTTCAATTAGATGGAACAACTGCTACTTGTGAAGATATCGGCCGACAAATGCTTTGTTATAACCGACGCATACCACTTCACGAATTTGAAGCTAGGATAAATGTAAGTAATACTTCATACTTAAATACTATTTTTTATGATTGAAATACAGTTTTTATATAAACAAAATTATTTGCAGAGTATAACTGCCTCGAATATTCATGATATTGGTATGAAATACATTTATGATCAATGTCCAGTGATTGCTGCAGTTGGACCAGTTGAAAATTTACCAGATTATAATACTATTCGTGCTAGCATGTACAGATTACGAGTGTAAAATATTTTCATCAATAAATTTAGAACAAGCAACAATTGACAAAGAATTTAGCAAAAAATTTAGATTAAAATAAGACTATGAAAGTTTAAACTATTTATAATTATAAAATACAATTACAATGTTACATAGTTACACAAAAACATTTTATATTTCAATGTGATATTTTTTGTAGTCTTGTTTTAATCATCGTCAATAAATAGTACATTTCCGCTCATGTATTATCTGTCTTCAATAAATTTATCCTCGAAAAATTTATTTTCTGATTTATAATTTACATTAAAATTGTATTTAACAAATAAATTATTCCATTAATTATCAAGTTATTTGTTTATTTATAAATAATAAACAAGTTTTTATAATGGAAATTGATTTATTGTGTTTCATTATTTTTTAAATTTGTACTTTTTTTTTATATAATATACGTTGTCTATTAGTACGATGGTATTCTTTCTTATTAGTACAATATTATTACAAAATGTTTGTAATTCTTAATACAATATGTAAGAATATTACATAAACATCTTAATGGCGCAAAATTATATGTACAATTATATATTTTTATAAAATAATTCTATAAATAATGTTTATAAAACTCGAAGTGTAAAATTATTTGAATGTTAATCTGTACATTTAAAAATATATAAACTAATTTTAACATTTAAAACATATAAGTATGAAAACATTATTGCTGTGACTATTTATCCATAAAATGTGAATTCAAAATCTAATTATATAATTCGTTATACATTAATATGGCTAATTAGGAAGAGATATATTTAGCAAGTATTTTTAATACTTTACTAAAAGGATATAAGCACTATACACATTAAAGCATTTAGTGAAACTTTTTGATTTTTGAAATTGCAATAAAAATAATATCCTGCAATATATTAATAATAAAAATTTTGTAATATTTCTTCAAAGAGAATAAAAGTTAAAAATTATTAGCTGTTTTACTTACATCAAAACAAGTCTATTTTATTTTAATTTGGTTATGACTTTATGTATTAAGCTCGCGACTATCTAGCATTACTTGATGGTGCTGTTGTTTGTGTTGGTGATGCAGTATCTTTGCAAACTTTGGAAGTCATTTCAGCCAGTGGTTCCAATTCTTTTGTATTTATTAATTCAAATTCTGTTACAAAATAGTAAAAATGTTTGTAACATGTATTTACATGTGCTTCCTGAAATACAAACATTTTTAATTATATTTTAATAATTAATAAATATTAATAATATTTTATTGAGCATGTAAAAATATGAAACTTACTGCTCCAATTGCTACAATACGATCAAAATGATGTATATAAACATGAACAAAAACTCTAAACAAACGTGTCAAAATTTTTCTACACAGTGGTACAAACGTTTTTGGAAATGGTACATCTGCAAAAAGGAATTGTTGCACAAATAAATTATTAAATAAGTGAATTAACATTTAAATGTTTAAGATTTTATACCTGTTGATACAGGGAAAATGGTTTCATTATTAATTTGTGCTTCAATCCAATCCATAAGAAGACTAACATATTGTGGTGCTGGCAGTGCAGTAGGTTTTTTATATTTTTCTCCATCTGCCCATAAGTATTCGAAGCGAGCTCCACCACTCATTGTTGGACAAGATGCAGAATCACAATATTCAGAAACAGTACCATATATCAGATTTATTCTATTAAAAAAATCTACCACTGAAAACCATATTCAAATTTATTAATATTATTACTTATGAAGATCATATCCTTTTATGTTTCTAATAGATCAATAAAAAATTTCAAATACCATGAACTGCAATCCAATCGTTCAAATCTTCTCCAGGGGGTAATTTTACGACAGATCTTAAATTAATTCCTGAATTCAAGGAAGCTTGTGCTTGTTTATGCAAAGAATATCGTAATGTTCCATGAGCAAATTTTTTTTTCGGCCTGAATGTCTGGAACATTAAATAATTTAAAATATGTTAAACAATCTTTTTTAAATATTTATATAGTAAATTAAAGCGATATGGGCATTTAATTGAAGGAACAGTAAATAATTTTACGTATTTTAAATAGAATGCATTTTAATACAAAACTGATCGGTAATACTAGGTTAGAATTTATATTACATTTTAAAAGAATATAATATAAATAGAAATTTACATTCACCTTCCCTTTTTGAAAAAATTCCATGAAACCACTTAATGCAGTCATTATAATTAAATACACAGAAAACCTATACCTCTTTTACGAATAGCGAGGTAACCGGTAGTACAAAGTACTCACTTTGCCCTCTTACATATATTACAATACTTTGTATCATACACAAATATTTAATACATCTTTTTCATTTTTTATTCATAAATTTTTGAATGATGTAAAATTATCGAAGTATTTATTATATATATAATGTATATGTTTTTATGAAAGAATTTTTAGATTTAAAATTTCAAATACAAGTAATTTATCATATTAGGATGTTTAATAAGTTTTAATAATAAATTCCACTTATATTTACACATATATCTGGAAAGTGTTATTTTTCATATTATAAAAATTCGTATTTTTGTAGTAATTTTAAAATACTTTTAAATTTTTATAATCAAGATTTTAGAAAAATGACAATAATTTAAATAAAGATAATAATTATAAAGATAGAATTTATTTCTGAAATCTAGAACAGTCTTCACAGTAGATTCAACAAATTTAAATTGCAAATTACAGATGTAACCCATCAATATTTTAAAAGAAGCAGAAATTAATATTTTTTACACTACTATACATAATGGTTTTTCAAATTTTATTTTTTTATAATAATTTTATAAAATATCAAATATTAAATAAAGATATAACAAAAAATATGAGTATAAAATATAATAATAGGAAATACATTAATCTAATTGCACCAAAAGAGATTGTTATAATTTTTGTATAGAAATTTTATTACATCTTTTATATATAACTTTTACATAAACTGACAATTTGATGCATAAAATTAAAAAAATAATTATTCCGGGCATCATTACCATTTATGTTGTACCTGAAATAAAATATTTTATATAACAATATATATATTTATATATATTTATATGTGTATATTAATTTTTGTGCAAATATACATATATTATCATATTCAAATGTCTATAGTTTTATTATTCTATAAGTAATTATTGTAAAAATTGTATCTTACTGTTTCACAAGTTTATTTCCAATAAAGATAATATTTTATTTACTTTCAATCATAATAAACATTTAATGAATATTTAATTTTGAAATATACAATTTTCTATATAATGAATAGTACTTATTATTAAAATATTGTACACTTTATTACATAATCTTATGTTTATGTAATCAGAGCATACACGTAATAGCTAGTTTTCTCTGTTGTGTACTTAGTAATTAATTATTCTATTTATAAATATACATGTTGTTTTAATACCGATTAAAAAGGCATATTTCTATTGTACAACGAAACAGAACCTATTATTTATATAATTGAACCTATTATTTATATGTAATTATAATCAATATTTGAACAGATGGAATGATTCCTTTATGGTATTACAATATTTTGGAATTAGATTTCATTGAAATAAAAACTGCATATTTCTGTTATATTTCATCACTAATCATTGATATTAGTAACATTAATATTGTCACATACAATTTATTAATTAAAAATTTATATGTAAAATATTGTTTTCTGTGCCCAGCACATAGAACAAATAATATATTGATGCCACTAAATGCATCACAGTCTTCAGAATTCAAAATCTGCTTTACTTTGATAAATATAAAAATTATATTAATATTTTGTTTATCCTTAATCAAATATTATACATGGAATATAATAATATTTACCATAAAGCGCGTACTGCACATATGACACTATTGTTTCTTTTGCAAACTTTTTCTACTTTGTAAATTTTTTTGTAAAAAAAGAAATTCATAATATTCAATAATATCATATCCTGGAGGTAGAAACATACTCTAGAGAATAATAGCCTTCTAAATTAGTACCCAGTAAAAAGATTGTATTCATAATTACATACATTAATCATATTCAATTGTGCGGTAATTACAGCTGCTTAGAGCCTTCCGCTTTTTTTGTAGATGGTGGAACAGTAGGAGTCAGTGGAGGATTTCTGACTGGATCATTGGAATTACTCTTAAGAACAGCAGCTGACTTTTCTTTTTCTTGTTCAGATGAATGGGTAGCAAAACTTTTATTCGATTCGTCGGCAGCTTCTTCTAATTCTTCTTTACCGAAATTCTTTTCAGTCGTTACCGGTGTAGCAGGAACTGGTGATTTAGGTGAAACATATTTTGTCTGAGTACAATTTCCATCTTTAAGTTCACTCGCAGCTTTTTCTGTCAATTTCTCGCTCTGTCCTTTTTCTTCTAAGATTTCTTCTTTATTAAGCAATTCAAGCAATTCATCTACTTGCTTATTACTTAACTTAATATCTTCTTTGCCAATTAACTCTAATACCTTAAAACCATACACAATTAATAAATTTGGTACATTATTTCATCTACATTATTTAATCTATATTATATACATACCTTTAAGACATCTTCAATTTTTATAGCTCCGTCTCTATCGTCATCAATTTTTGCTAAAATTTCGGTTATGCGTTGTAATCGGTGTTCATCAGGTACATTTTGAATTTTTTTAATTACTGAAATTAATTCATCTATCTTAACTAATTCCTCAGCAGTTTTTGAAGAAGTTGTTGCCTCTTTATCTACAGTAGTCTTCCTTTGTAATTCTTTCATTTGTTTCTCAGATTCAAGTTGTGTCAAAACTGCGTCCATCTTACTAATCATCTTATTTACTTTCTTAAACAAACGCGTAGCACCTTTGGATACTTTAATATTTTCTATATCTTCTTGACCTTTAGCAGCTGCTTTTATTTCATAAAGTTCTTTGATGTCTTCTTGATATTCGGCCATTTCTTCCTTTAATTCTTTCAATTCTTCTTTTTCAACAGACATTTCCTTATCCTTTGGAAAATTAGATTCATATATACTCTTTAAGGACAACAAAACCTACTAATCTACTAATCTACTACAATGAAAAATAATTTTCACATACCTTCCCTAGAGAATCTAAAGCTTGTTCTAATACTTTTACATCCGAATTCGTAATTTCGTCCGTCTTATGAGTTTGGAAAGAAACGGTTTGCGGTTCTTTCTCTTGCCGTTCTTCTTCGATTTTACGTTCTTCCATTTTAATAATTTCAATATTTGTTTTGTGATCCATTTTACCCTCCTTTTCTCCTATTGCACCTTGAGTACGTGCAACAACAGCATCAGGAAGGGCAGAAATAGTAGCCTTTAATTTGTCTGACATAGGTATCGTTTCAGGAACCATAAGCGCTCGTGAAAGGAGCAACAATGAAGGTGGTACTTTTTTATTTAAACTTAAATCCAACCATTGAGACAATTGTTCCTTTAACTTGCTATCTGGTAATCCATACGCTCGCATTCCGCGGGCTCTACAAGCTTGTTGTAATTCATTTCTAGTAAGTGAATCTATACCTTCTTTTTCAATTAGCTGTAAAGATAATTGTTATTATATCTGCATTATTACTATTCTTAATATATTATAATATATTATATGTATATACATAATAATTACTTTATCGTCTGCAGTAAGACTTCTAAGTCTCATTCTAAGTAAAAATTTTAAAAAGTTCGACGTTCCAAGAGTTTGTACATCTAGTACTCTACACAATGCCACTATCTGCGGTCGAGTGAGAGAATCTAATGTGATTTCATCTTCGAAAAGTTTACTAAATTGCATAATTTCTTCATTAGTGGCTACAGCACCAGACGATCGTACTTTATAAAAAAATTCGGCAAATTCCTTGGCTTTTTTCGATTTATAATCAGACGACTGCACTGCCATATCATCCAATGTTTTTTGCAAAAATTTTGCCATTTCAATTTTTATCTATAATTCAAAAATTATATATATATATATATACAGTTCTTTGAAAGAATTGTTACAAAAAGTTATGAAAAAATACCTTTAGTGCTTGCTTTAATTTATCCTCTTTCTCCGTTGCTGTTTGGAAAGTAGATGGTAATAATCCAGGAAAAATTTTAATAGCAATTGGAAGCAAGAATTCCATGAAGGGTACGATAATAAAAACAGAGAAAGGAATAAGTCTGAATACATCGCCTGTTGTTTTTATAAGCTAAAGATAATTACGTTAAAAAGATTATTAAAACAATTAAATGAAAATAACTTAGAATTATAAATTATAATTAGACATTTATAACTTACAAGTCTATGTTCTCTTCTACTGAGTTCTTTACCCTTCAAAATTCTCCATATCAACTTTGCTGAAATTTTCATATCAAGACCTAACAATCTAAATCCATGATAATAATGTATAATTTCTCCTTTTACTTTTTGCCATATAGACAGCTTTTCTGCTTTCTCTACAGCTTTTGATGTACTCTGAACAACAGAGTCTTGTGCTTTACTTTTGAGTTCTTTTTGTTCTTTGATATTCTTTATAGTATCTTCTACTTTAGAAGATGATTCTTGACCATGCCATGTTGGCGTAATATAAAATGTACGGCATTGTACATATGCTAAATTATTATTATTGCAGTTCTCTGTTATCGTTGATTGCAATAACAATCTATTACTTCTGGAATCTCTTCCACCCACATAAATAAAAGCTACGTTACCATTTATTGAATTGGTATTATACCATAATTTAAAGCAGCAATATTCTGTAATAAATATAATCTTTGAAGCATTTAGAATATTTTTAAATATATATCATTTGAAATATTTTATTATTTTTATATTTCAATGATAATGAATGTACTGTAATAACATTGAAATAATATTTATTTCACAACATAACCTACTATCTAACCAATTATGTAAATCATCAAAAAAATGACAATGCAAAGTGGAAAATTTATATTAATCTATCACCGGTATTAATAGCTGTAATTGCAAGTTCGCCTGTTACATAAATATAGCGTGTACAATCTATAATATATGTATTAGAAAATGTTACAATTATTACTCCAATATATTATTAAACAAAAATAATTGTACGTACGGCGAATTGCTGTTCTGTGACCAAATACCATTCTTTTTGTATGAATTAGAGAATTCATTTTGTACTATATTTTTTTGATAATTTTTTCAATCAGTTTGATGTCAGTTTTATCTGCAA